TATATATATATATCTCGAGTTATATATAAAAAAAACTCAGATCATAAGCAAGGCAAATATAATAAAACTGAATCAAATATTACTTTCAACCATTGCAATTTGAAGAGTAGTTTAAAGAGCTACAATTTTTAGTTATTTCAAGCTTTCACTATTAGAAAAAATTCAAGTCTCACATCAACTAAAGATTAGACAATTAAATAGTATATAAGTGAAAAATAATCCTCACCTTACAAGCCGATTTTGTAGGGTTGAGTTAGGCTTAAATTCACTATTCTAAGATGGTACACTACAAAAAAATTGTTATTATCTACGGAATATTATCTATGGAAATTTTTCCGTAGATAACGTTTAATTATCTACGGAATATTATTTACGAAATTTTTTTCGTAGATAATATTTAATTTTCTACGGAATATTATCTACGAAATTTTTCCCGTAGATAATGTCCAGTTATCTACGGAAATATCCATAGATAAGTTATCTATGGAAATTTCCATAGATAACTTATCTACGGAAATTTCCGTAATATCCGTAAATAAGTTATCTACGAAAATTTCCGTAGATAACTTATCTACGGAATCTGTAATGTAATCTCCACGTTCATCAAGAAGTCAGATGAAAATATTCGCATCAATGCCATTTGTTAAATTTGTTTAAACTGTTGTATGGAGTATATGGATCCTGTAACTATGAATCAGGAATGCAACTAGATGAGATTTAACGATTGTCGAGTTAAAATTCCAGAAAGTCTAGATCTCTTTGCGCCAGGCTAATAAAGGCTCCGAGCAATCATCAATGTAAATGTAAAACAAGGCATGACATATCCAAATCCAATCACAAATTCATGAATTATACGAGTGAAACAAGATACGTTTCAATTAACGTGTAAGTGTAATTGGTCAGTGTCAAACAACTTTTCCTTTGATTTCTACCCATTAGACAACAATTGGGAAGATTTCTCTAACATTTATATATTAGCCTAGTTATCATTATTTTCACTGCGATATCACAACTAACCAAAACATGGATTAGAAAGATTCTCAAGCTGCCAGTCTCATTACACGTATTCTAATTAATCCAGCTCATTAACAGATTCAACCTCCTCCTCCGGTAGTTCAAATTCATCGATCTCTTTAAAGTAGGCGTTCTGTTTTTCAATATAATCTTGCAGCTGTGCATCCTTGGACACGTCTTGTTCATTAGACACAGCACGTCGCTTCTGAAAACTCAGCAGATATGATCAAACACTTGACCAGAACATCCATTAATTAAGAACCATATAGAGTTAATTTTTCAAATATAAAAACTAATCCAATGAGTAATGACTAAAACACATCAGAATCAATTATTCCATAGAAATCTGCAGAACCATCATAAACAGAGTAAACATTAACCAACCTATGGAAAATACTTATGGCAAGTTTCAACACACACAAATTAAGAAGAGTTGAAAGTTTTGCATGGAACCGTTGTAGTCATATTATTTACCTTCCTGCAACGGACTGTTAGCAGACTAGCCTTAGGTAGGTCCAAACCTTCAAGCTCAACTCCATCACTTTTATCTCTGTTTGGAACGAAAGAAACATAGACGCCAACCGAGTAATTCATCGGTGGAATTTTATGGAAAATAGAAGAAAAGTAATAATTAAACTTTGCTCCCTTAATCATTGTAGTATTGAACTTAGTATGACTAAAAAACGGAGGGATAGTTAATGTTACCGAATAGTAGAGAACTTTGGATTCGTCATTGTTTTTTTAATTTTCCTTTTCTTTTCATTGAGAGTATGAATTCGGTTGCAGAATGCGGAAATTGGCTCAGAAACATGAAGGCCAACTGTACCTGAATTCAAAAAGTAAGAAAGAGTTATGGTTAATATAGCAATGTGGAATTAATTTTAGGCGAAAAGGAAAAATTCATAGTTAACATGTGATTGAATAAAAAAGAGAGTACCGCGTGTGGTGTTGAATGTGGAAGAGGAAGAAGACGACGATGGAAGGGGATTGGGTTTGGAAGGGTTAGAATTGGTGAGATCCGAAAGAGGGTTTCGTCTTCGCTCCAAAGCTTTTGCATTCTTCATTTCAGTGTCTCACTCACACTCACACTTCTCATGCATTCTGTTATATTCTCGTTTCCCCACCTATAT